TGAGAATAATAGCACTGTCTGCCTCATGGTGAATCCTTACCAGATGAAAGAATCATATAAAATATTTAGCAGTCTTTCACGTAGCACACGCTTAGTTTAGGTTAGCTCTCATTATCATTACTTTTACTATTGTTATTGAGATCAGGTAAAGCAAAATCTCGAAAAAAAATCAGAGTCTTCTCCAGTAAACCCATAATAAACTTAATTTATTCATTAATATGCCATCCAAAATATTTTGGCATACCTTGGATATGAATAATATTCCTAATATCATTCAGAATTAAGGCTTTGGCTTTTATTCGAGATCTGATTTATCCCAATAGTAACATATCTGAGTGAAAGATAACTTTCTCAGTCCTTCAAAGAATTCATCACCAGTCTTGATGACAGGTGGAAAATGATGGAGACAGCAGGGAACATTCTTATAAATGTTCCCTGAATATGGCATTTAAAGTTTTATACGTTAACTGTAAAACTGAAATACTCCTGCCAACCAACAGAGCCAAGATGGTATTCACAAAACAAACAAGCCAAACCACATGAATAAAGTCACACTTGTAAAATGGGACTGACTAGTTTGGTGTCACCTAATCCCAGCTATGGGGTGAATACTCAGGTGGCTGATACCCAGACCCTAAAAATCGGCTGACTATAATGTGCACCTGTGCACATGTGAAGCAAAACAGCACTTATTCCCAGGTGTATTTATCTAAAGATAAGTAAGTGAATCAGGGAAGCAGAAAAATTGCTAACCCATATAGCAGTAAGCTAGCTTTACTTCAAACACTCCATAATTTCCATTTATGTTTTGCAATATCACCAAGATTGCCATGGATTCATTCTCTTTGCTACTGAGTAAGGGCGGCACTCACTCTTAGATCTTTACTACCCATCAAATTTAAAACTGCTCCAGTATTTTAAGATCTCTAGAATTAAAAGAAATGCACCGTTGAATGATCAGAGCAGTAGAGAACATCAAGTAGATCCGTAGATCTGCAATAAACTTCTTCAAAACATAAAAATGATAGAGAAATTTAAATATACCTTCTCAGCAAAGTGAAAATGTCACTAAGCTATATGATGGTTCCTGAAATTAAGACATAATTTTGAGAAAATCATTAATCAACAGGTATTAAATACCTGACTATGATAAACAACTTTTGATAGCTGACATTTCTAGCTAAGAAAATTAAGTTTAAAATTTATTTAAAGTCTCATTCAACTCTCCTTACCTTAGACATAAATCTATCCTAACTGGAGTCACTCCATGTTGTCTTTTACATTTTGAATCCTAGCAGCATTCTTACTTTAATCATTCTTGAAACATTTCTAATTTTGGAAAGACGTTTTAACCGTTATTTTTACAAAATACCTTAGCTTATCATTAAAAAGAATGCTGACTTACAAAGTTGTTTTATATACATATAATTTATATCTTGATTATTTATTAGCACATCACATTCAAAAATACATTGCTAGTTGAACAGAGTGGCATATCAATAAATCAAACACAGTCTTAATCCTCATTTCTGAATAATGATGTACAGCACATCTTCATATATGGGGCTCTAGAAGGGAGGGCAGGTAACTTCCCACATTAAAGTACCCCAAATTAGTTGAGAACTATTTTAATATATTTAGTTAAGACTTAGTAAATTTGTGAGGCAAAAATAGATGTTTGAGAGTGCAATTACAAATACAGTAAAATAATGTTAAGTTCAAGCTGCATATTTTTTGTTATTAAATACATTCTTTTAAATGACATTACTATAACATAAAGAAAAAAAGTTAGGGGGTTTGTCTGTTTTTCAAAAGAAAATCAGTCTCTTAATTTCATAGCAGCATTTCTAAACCAGATATGTTTTAGGTAATCAATCACTATAATCACTTTCTGGTGTGTGTAGGCTTTTTGCAAGAAGGTCTATAGCTTTACTTCAATACTAAATGATGCTGAGTTCTCAAAATTATAAGAACCATGGATTATTTCATTGTTGTCAGAGATTTAAATAAATACTGAGAAGAAGCCCAAAGGGTTAAAATTATTTTATCTGAATAGTAATAACAATAATTTTATTATTTTTATTTAATTTGAAAAATACTGTACTTGTTACATTATATTAGTAATTTGAAATGGTCTTTGTAGATGTTATCCCAAGTTTATGCAAACATATTTACAAATATTTACACTACATTCACATAGGTATTTAGTTTTTATAAAAAGGAGTCCTGATATATATGTACAAAACTAATTTTTATTTTTTAATTACAAATACACTGTGGACATATTTTCAGATCTGCACACATATATCCCTGGCATCATTCTTTTTATTGGTTGTATAACACTGCTCACCTCCAAACATGTTAAATAATTTAGTCATTCCTTACTTTATTGGCTATTTCCTTACACAGATAAGCTTCATAGGATAAAGAGTTCTTCATTTCCTGCCATATCCAAATGCTTAGGTTAGTCCTAGCATACAGCAGGTTCTCAACAAGTACTTGTTGAATGAATTGAGTTTTAAATAATGCAAACCCATAATTTGTTTTGTTACACTCTTGTTAATGAACTTATTTTGATTGTGTTCTTTGCTAGTAAGAGAAATATTTGAAGACTGTCTGTATGGATATATCTACTTACTGAAGCAATTATTTTTTAAATTCCTAGAAGGTAATTGCTAGGTTACAGATTATATGCTTTTAAAAATAGTATTGCTAAACTGTCCTCCAAAAATGTAATACCAAATTAAATTCTTAATATAATATATGAGTCAACCATTTAGTTCTATTCTTTATAACTTTCTGTTTTTCCAATTTCCTATAACTGACATTAATTATCTTAATCAGAAGCAGCCATGATTAAAAAGAAAATTAGTTTTTATTTTCTTGATTGTCTTACAAACATTATTTAACAGTCTAAAACTTGAACATACCAGATATCATTTGGACTAGAGTAGTCTTTTTTCACTCATTTAAATCATTCCATTACTTAATTTTTAAAAATTATTTCAATGTCTATCAACAATTTTCTACCAAATAGGAGCCTTATAGCATGCTTACTGGAGCAGAGAAATTAGAAAGATTTAACTGATTTTCCAAAGTTGATGTTGCCTTATAATTTGCATAAAGTAATATGAAGAAAAATGTTTTTAATAAATTATTTTTATTAATGATGAGTTATTAATAAATAAATGTATTTGGCTCTCAGCCCTTTTAGTAAAAGCCCAGGGAGGAAAGAAACATATTAAAATTTTCAGAGTACACAAAATATATATCAGTTTCCAAGTTTGGAATGTTTCTAAGCAGCCAGTAGATTAAAGAAGGAGTTATTCAGCTTTAAACCTGACCTTACTGTTCAATAAGTGTGACCATGGCTTTGGTAAAGTGTTGTCCTTCTACAAAAATTATACTATTAACCCCGAGTCATGATACCAGAGCTGCTTATTCAGACCTTCTGACAAATTGCCCTGAACCTATCACATATGTCTGCATCTCATCTAAATAGAAATAGACACAGGGAGGAGTTTGCATCAAGGTACATAGATTCCCTATGTGAAGGGAAAACAAACGGTAACTCTAATGGGACTGACCCTCCATCATTGCCTCTCTTCTAATTTATCCAAGCACAACATTCATTGTCTCCTAAAGAGTTCAGAAGCTAACAAAATTTCATAACTGCCAGACTTCTGATTTATATAATAGCAAGTTGTAAGTAATCAACAGAAAATCTATACTGAATAGAAAAATGTCCCACTTCAATAGACATTGAAGAATACTTCCGAATGTCTTGGGTGCAGTGGCTTGATTTTAGACTTCTGCAAAGTAAGCACACCCTGCCCTCAAGGAATCTGTATTTTGCCTATCAGCCAGGGAGATTGAGAAAGAGGTAAGCAAAAAACAGGGCAATTTGAGTTGGCATTCTATCTAGAGGTGAACTTTGTGATGCTTTATTTCAGTGTTACTGTAAGAAATTATAAATAGCTACTGCTTGTTAGATGAATGAACACAATGCGATCATGAAAGAACTGGAAAATCTCAAGTGGGTTTCCCAATGAATTAAATTCCCTGATTGGGATCCAAGATCTAAGTCATCCTTCAATATTCTGGGTTTTTTTTTTCTTCAAATTAACATATTTATGTGTATTCAGATTCCTTTATTCATTTTTTTAATCTTTTCTCTAGATATGAAGAAAAAGTCATCTTTCCAACTTTCTTTTTTAAGATTTTATTTACTTATTTGAGAGAGAGAAAGAGTGCATGAGTAGGGGGTAGGAGTGAGGGAGAGAGAGAACCAGACTCCCTCCTGATTAGGGAGCCTGACACTGAGCGGGAACCCCAAGCCCAAGACCCTGAGATCATGACCTGAGCAGAAGGCAGTTGCGTAACCAACTGAGACACCCAGGTGCCCCTCTTTCCAACTTTCAAATCTTCTTAAACTTCAAGTATTTGCATAGATAGGCTTAAATAGGCCTATATGTTTCTTTAAAAAAGGGTTTTGTGAAATTAAATTCTTTGAATAGCTATTATCAAAGTATTATTTTAATTCTAACAAGATCAGGGTGCTAATCAATCCCCTTGTTGGTTAAAATCAATATTCTCCTTGTATTACTTAAAGGTGTCTGCCAAAGATCTCAAAGGCATTAAATTATTGTGAAATTTTAGATGAATTTCTTGAAAGGTGTGTGTTCTCCTCTTTATCCAGGCTGTCTGTATATTATTGTCCCATTGTTTCTTTAATATGTTTTTCCATGCAAATTCCATGTCTCATTCCTTTATTGGAAAGGTTTTATCATAGTTTTGAACTTGGTAGATAATCAAAGATTCACTTAATAAGATAACCCTACAGATACTGATTAAACACCTTCTGTGTGCAAAGTAAAACCATAGTTGCTGAGGTAAAGACAAAGGTAAATTAATCACAGACCTAATTCTCCTAAAGTTCACAATCAAGTGGCAGAGATGATGACAAGACATATAATTCAGTATCTGAGTAAAATGTTGAGAAGAAAATGGAAGAGGAGAAAGCAAAATTTTTACATGTCATCCTTGTACAGAGCCATGCTAATCTTCTTTGTATTGGTCCAGTTTAGTATAAAGTGAAATTTTTAGATAATGCAACCTCCTCATTTGCCATTAAGCCAGAGTTTACATGATTACATGGATTCCACTGCAAAAAAAAAAAAAAAAAACCCTCTGAATTTTCTTACTTAATTACTACATCTCTCATTCATTTATTCCACATACCATTATTTACTGAGTACCTCCTTTGTGTAAAATACTGCATAAGGATGTGTCAGAATACAGAAGTGCTGTAGTATCTAAAAATAAAGTATTTAGAGACTTCAGGATTGCTATTTTTCATAGAGATGCTTTTATAGCTTGGCCCAGAATTTTCTAGAGTATCTAAGCTGACTTTCATAGAAACTACCTTTTATATTTTACTGAAACACTTTTTACATAATTTTTTATCTTAATATTAAAATCTTAAAGTTCATGTTTTTGGACTTCAATTTCAAAAGGTCTTTGTATTAGTGGGAGAAGCCAGGATTTCTGGCAGAAAACAGCAGCACAAAGAGTCATCATACACCTGTGATCTTAGCATTTATCTGGTAGACTGTTAGAAGTGGTAATATGCAGAGCAGAGTTCTAATTCTTCCAACCAGCAAAAGATATCAAGTCATAAGTACAATTGTTCTTTACAGTTCACCAAATGTTCTTGGATTTTGAAGAAGATAACCAAAGAGTGATAAATGCACCTTGTTCACATTATTTTGGTGATATATAAGATATTTTACAAATCTCACACTACATGTAAGATATTTAGTTTCTTTTAGTGGTGGCAAAATATATTAAGTTATGAAAATGCCCACCTAAAAATGCATATGCCTGTTATATTCACTTTACTAATGGCCATGAGTTGATAATTAATTTGTATCAAATGAATTAAAATACAATAAAATTATTTTTATTAAAAAGAGAAGTACTGCTCATAGAAAAATGCTCTGGGAAAAATATTCAATGTTATAGTCAAATATTGATGCATGAGGAGTGAATACAGAATGTACAAAAATGCAGGGACTCTGAATCCCATGTGTCCATTTTTAGGAAGCTAGTGTGGATGTGCGTGGTAAAATGTGGTGCTAAAACCAAAAGAGGCTGGGGCACCTGGGTGGCTCAGTGGGTTAAAGCCTCTGCCTTCGGCTCAGGTCATGATCTCAGGGTCCTGGGATCTAGCCCTGCATCAGGCTCTCTGCTCAGCAGGGAGCCTGCTTCCTCCTCTCTCTCTGCCTGCCTCTCTGCCTACTTGTGATCTCTGTCAAATAAATAAATAAATCTTTAAAAAAAAAAAAAAAAAAAAAAAAAGAAGCAAACTAGTGCCTAAAACAAGGGAACCAAAACAAGAAGGTCAGAAGGTGGAGATCCACCAGGACAGCCATGCCTTAGTCTAGAAAGCAACTAGCACAGACTGAAACAGGCAGAGAAATAAAATCTCCAAATGACCAGATTTATTTGAATATCTGAAAAGAAAGTAATGAAAATCTGAGTGAGCCAACAGAGGTATACTGAAAAGGTATAAAGAAAATAAAAACAAACAAGGTGAGAGCAAAATAATTAATCTTAAGTAAGCAAAAAATGGAAAAAAGAAATATAATAATAGAATACTATCTTGTTTATTAATAAACAATATCTACACCGTAAACACTGGCCAACAGTTTAAGCAAGTATTTTACAAAGATACTGGGAAGATAGAGGAAGTGGAAGGGAGGTGAATACAAAAGAGAAATACATAATCAATAGGTAATATCTACATGTGACAAAGAAAAAGTTATATATATATATATGAAAAATTTGTATATGGAGGAGAGGGAAATATCAGACAAATCAACTAAAGTTGTTGAAAGTGCATGTATCTGGGAAACGGGACTAGAAAGGAAGAAACATAGAGAGGTGCCTGATATTTATTATAACTCTTCCACTTTTAAAACCCTGTGTATAGTATTTTGGAAAAAATCTTTCCATTTTATTAAAGAGAGAGCACAGCACGTAAACACACACAACACAAGCACGCACACATGGGTTGAAGGAGAGGGAGAAAGGGAGAGTGGGAAAAGAATCTTAAATGCAAGCCCCCCCCAGGCCATCGGCCACCATCAGTGCCACATTAGGCCAAGAACTCAGAGGCTGACGCCCCGCCAGAACCCCTTCCTCAACTCTCCCCCCTCCACCAGATTTCCCTGCACTGGGGCCCGCCGGGGAGCCACGTGTTCAAGGCTCTTTTCCCAGTGGGCCTGGACACGCACTGAGCGACTAAGGGCTCTAGACTATCCGCATAGAGGACCCAAGTGGGTCCAGCATGGAACGCCCATGGTGCTCTGTGTCAGAACCTTAAGATCATGCATGATCTGACCCAAAACCAGAAGTTGGACATTTTATTGGGCCATTCAGGCACCTCTAACATTTGAATAATTTAAATTAATATTTCAATAATTTAAATTTGCAGTAACAAAATGCATTCTGCCTTATCTAAATAGAGAAATAATTTGTTAAAGAATACTGAGGACACAAGGAAGAGGCTGTGTATCCAGCCACACACGAAGATATGACTCATTAAAGACATTCCTAAAGCCAAATGCTGCAACTCCCAGCTACCACCTATTCCAGTAGAGTGGATGTTACATACTCACGTTGCTTACTTTTGGATCAGTATTACAGACTGTTAATGACAGAATATGACTTCCCTGCTTTCAGGCTATGGCCAAAGGAATCTAGAAAAGTAAGTTTTCTTTAGAGAGGCCAAAGAAGTATGGGAAATTATCAAGATATAGAGAAGTTATACAAAAGATAACAAATAGTTAAAATGACAATGTTTGCTACACATAGATAAGTTAATTCCTTTCCTAAAATGTATACTTTCTCCTTTCTGTCATTAATATCTAACCATTTAAATACAAACATCATTGGTAATTCCAAAAAAAAGTTATAAGAAGATGTTACAATTATTATTTTAAACTTCTGGGATATTATTAGGTTATCAGTTACTATGGGGAGCTAGATACATCAGAGCACAATTTATATAGAGATGTGAGTATAGATCCTAGGCCTGATTATAAGAAAGCAAGTGTGAGAAATCAGCTGAGAAACATTTGGTTAAATGGAAAGGTGTTGAAGTCCGAGTGAAAGCTCAACATCTTGGATAAGAGTTACAAATTCTGTCATAAGAATAGCTTTCTACCATTAACTTCCCCTCTTCTACATACTATGCACTGAAGATTAGTTTTATTGCAGCTGGAATTTGAACATCTTAAGTATATGTTTTGGTGATTATATTTTTCTTTAGCTAAAATTATCATAAATTTCTTTACCTATTAGCAGCAATTATGTGATAGTCAAGTTTATTAGGAAGTAAACATGTTGATTTGTCTCCAGGGTAACCTATGCACAATTGGAGACAGGTGAAGACATAAAGAACAAGATGGATAATAATGTTATAATAATATAGAATAAGAATTGGAATTGTTATTTGATGAAATAAGAGTCCAGCTTTTATTTACTAAGCTGAGTCAACATCATGCCAGGAATTAGACTATCCCCACAATCCAAAATTATATATGTAACAGCTCCCAAGAATATTATCACTTGAAAATTCTTCAGACACATTAGCCCTTCAAGAGAGAATCACACAACGTAGACATCTCAAGAGACCATCCTATCAGTTATATTCTGCCTCCAGTAAAGATTACAGTAGTTATCAATTCCCAAAATGTACATTATGGTAATAAAGTTAGAGTTGATGCAGGATATAACATCCTCATTTTACAGATTATAAAACCAAAAATCTTAGAAGTGGAAAATATATACCCTCATTTTTATAAGTGAAAAGTTCAGAAAGTGAAAGCAATATGAAGAAATTCACATATGAATGGAAGAAAACATTTTAGAAGGCAGATGTCTTGGTGTTGAACACTGAGCCAGAATAGCATTTCAGACAGTATGCACATTCTTAAATACTATACTATACTGCCTCTTGACAAAGGAGAAGTGTGGTTATTGAATATCAGAAGTCCAATTTCAATCATAGTAAAAGAAATGTACATTAAAATAAGAGGAGATTATGGTTCTCAGTTGATTCTGTTATTTGCAGTAGTTACATTAAAAAATTTTTTTTTTCTTTCTTTACTTGCAAGAGAGAGACAAAGCACAAGCAGGACAAGGGACAGAGGGAGAGGGAGAAGCAGACTCTCCACTGAGCAGGGAGCCAGACATGGGGCTCCATCCCAGGACCCTGATTTCATGACTTGAGATGAAGGCAGACGCTCAACGGACTGAGCCACCCAGGTGCCCCGGCAGTAGTTACATTCTATAAAGTAGCTGTGAACGGTGAATTAGTGACTACTGAGCCATTGCTCCAAGAGGAAATATAAGATTAGATTTCTGAAAGCTTTTGGTGAAAACGTTTCTTCAACTGACAAATTTATAACTTTGTTTAATTATATGCAATATTTGTTTGATTACATGAAGCATTTTTGTATAATAAAACATTAGCTGAGAAGGGTTTACCATGATCCTTACTCTGGTAACATGAACTTAAATTTCTTTGGCTTTCAACATCACAACAATGCTATCAACCATGCATTGTTGTTGTTCTTTTTTATCAATCATCATCTCACGAATCCCCATATTTAGCCATTTTTCCAACCTTTCCGTAACTTCATCATAAGCTGTAGATGTTACTTTAGCACTTTCCAGGGCACCCTCATGTACAGATCAGTGAATTTCCTCTTCCTTTTTCTGGATAGACAATACTGTTTCATTAACCTTGAACTCAGAGCCAGTAGCACTGTAAATCATGCCTAAATGAAGTTAATCTAACACAGGTATTTTCTCCAGAATGCACATCACAATTTCCTTACACACACACACACACACACACACACACACACACACACACACACAAAGCAAACAAACAAAAACAAAAAAAAAGCACTTTAGCACAGTGCTTGGGGGCCATTTGAACAGCAAAATCACCAAAACAAGCCCCCAAATGCAAAAATCGCAGCACTAAATTGACCATGAAAAAGACACTTGAGAGTTAAAGCAAGAATGCAG